TCCGCTCTAATAGTTCTGGTATAATAAAAATGCTTGACTGTGCCATAGATAGTATCTATTATACGTTGTATTTTTAAACAAAAAAATCTTCTGAACTAATGATTATCGCTCCAGACTAGCTGGATTGGTAAAGTATGGTACCACTCTGCCTGATTGGCTAGTATTCTATCACCACCTCTTGACATTAAGGTGGAAATAATACCTTGAGTTGGTGAATGTATAGCTATAGATAAATTGGAATTAGGTCGCCGGTATATTTGAAATAGAACTGAATTCTGGATATTACCAACTCTATGTTGAGTGTTATATAGCCCTATTATTTCTTGATCTAATTCAGCTCGCATATCCATAGAATTCATGAAATTCTCGACATGAATATTTGGATTAAGTGAAATAAGCTGATCTATGGCTTCTTTAGTAATATTAGCACACCTCTCCAGATTAAGATATTTTAAATAAAGACACGAACGAGAAATTTCTTTGATAGTTACATCAGCAATTCCACAAAAACTAAGGTTGAGATGTTGGAGATTTGGACAGAAATGAATGGCATTGCAAATTGAAGTCTCAGCGACGTAAACATACCTACCAAAATCAAGATACTCTACACTAAAATGTTTCTCTACATTAAGGTGTTTCTCTACAGTAAGATGTTTCTCTACTAATATATCACATCTATTTTTTCTTCGATATCTACCCGGAATACTGAATCTTCGTAAATTTAAGCATGAGTTTAAGATATGACTTATAAATCTTTCAGAAATCAAATGTGCACAAGCAAAATGAAACTCTTGTAAAGCTTACCAACTTTTCGCAATTTTGATTAAAGATCTATCAGTAATGCCTTGACAGAAAGAAATATTTAGATATTCTATTTTACGACATGATCCCACCATTCTACATAAAGCTTTATCACCCATAATACCACTATGACATAAATTAAGATATCTCAGATTGGGGTATGCTTTAAGCTGATTTAATGCTCTATTACTAAAACCCACACAATTTTTGAAATTCAAATGAATTATGTTTGGGCATGTTCTTACGATGCCTTCAATTTTCTTACTTGAAAGTGGATTATAGTATGGAATTTCGAGATAGGTTAGTTTCGAGCTATAAATTGGTTTTTGCTTCCCACATACTAATTCTATGAATTTCTTTGCTTTGGGATCATTCTCCTTTAGCTCAATGCGTCTCCATAGAATAGGGACACCGCATCTGTATCACAATCGAGATACAAATAGAGTGGAGTAGAGGGATTTATCTACCGCTAGAAAATATAAAACCTGTTCTAATATTTCTGGTATAATAAAAATTCTTGATTGCGCCATAAATAGTCTGTATTATATGTTGTATCTTCAAATGAAAAAATAGCAAAGCACCTTTGGGAAAATTATGCAATTACTGATCTGGACTAAGCTTTTTCACTATTTTATTTAACGCAAGCACCTGTAAACCATCTTTAAGAACTGTAAACGTATTCTCAGATGATAATTCTCTGAGAAATTGATATTTAAGAAGACATTCTTGATAGTCTTTGCTTAAATTACACTCTTCCAATTTCGAATAAAATTCCTTTACTGTATAATTACCTTGAGACAATCCC